GTGGTTGTTATTAAAGGTACTACACAGGACAAGATCAATGGCATAAAACCTTTAGCAAATATGGATCTGGTCAGTTTGAGGCTACTTTGAAAATAAACTGACAAAGAAAATCCTTCTGAAATATGAATTGACCATAGGCAAGCTCATACATTTAGCAGGGTTCAATCTATGAATTTTACAAGTTAAACAGCAGCCTTTCAAAGTTTCACTCAGTTGTCTCTATGAATCTCTTAAATAAAGTGCGATACCCACTCAAACGTATATCTGGAAACAACAAGCAAAGCTACAGAATTGAGGTAAAAGTTCACACAGGCCTGTTATTTCTTGCAGAAAGTACATTAAAAAAATTTTTATTTTCTGCACTTAGTATTGGGCAGAAATTAACTTGATAGGTGTTGATTGCAATTAATATATTGATAGTAGCTGGTAATGGCTGTAAGTGTTACAATAACTTAAGATAAGATAGACCCTTATTGAGTGAACAAAAATAACGGTCAAAAATGGTACTTTACATTGTGGCCCAACAAAAATTGATTTTGATTGTTTTTATTATTATTATATTTTTTTTTACAAAAAAAAAAAAGAAAAATAGTGAATGGGAGTATCTGCTCTGTTAACCACTGGAGACGTTTGTGGGGAAGGAACCTGTGACTAAGCCTGAAGAATGTCTGGGTGGGAGACTAGGAATTTGGTTGGGTTACAAAAAATCTTATCACCATCTCAACTACTTTTTTACTTACTCGGGATTTTTCCCTCTTAACTGAGCTAGACAGTAAACAACTCTGCTCTGACTAACTTGTTGCCCTTGGTTCTTGTTTCCAGCAATCAGCATAAGGCACAACCCCAAACTCCTGTTCTGGTCTAAAAAACTTTGTAGACCTCCACCAATCTTCTAGTCTGTATTTCTTTAGAATATTATAAAAATTTTTCCAGAAAATGAACACCATATCATCAACAACCACAATAGGTCCTTTAAAATCACCAGCTTCTTTTCTGCTTGGTCGACACCGTGCGGACCAGGGTTTTGGTGGTTGGCAGCAGGCAAAGTGAAATGACTTCATGGGCCTAAAGACAATACGTCTTATATTGTATGTATAGGGTAGTGCTCTCCAATTTCCATCAGCAGCATAATAATGCCAAAGTAAAACTTGATCATTGGGACAAGTGTCTTTCATTGTAGTTTCAAACCACAGTTTCATGATTCCATAATAGTCAGTAGAATCTGGTCTAAAGACCAAAAGCCCAGCATTGAAGCAGGGATCAAGGACACCTGGGCGGGAGCAAGTTGCCGCAGCAAAATCATCTGGAATGTCAAAAAGCTCGTCAATATTTGACATCAACATGTAATCAGCATCAACGTATAAAATCTTGGAAAACTGAGTGTAGTTCAACGCATGGAATCTCGTGTGAGTGCCTCTTATCCTGTTTCCTCGGGGTCTACCCAAAAAGCCCCGGTTTCTATCGCCCCCTAATTTACTGTCAAGCCAGTCACAGTCCATTTCTTCGACTAAACGGGTTTCCCAGCCAACACTTTGAAGTGCTTTTCGCGCACCCAAGCTCACAGACGCTGCAATAAAAGCAATCATGTTTTTCTGGCAAGAAAACGTGCGAATTGAGTGTCCTAAAACCAGCGTAGGAACCACGAATTCGTCATTCACTACTTGTGTCAACCACGTCACGTCGCTCCGCTGTCGGACGTTTTCTTTGCACCACTCTTGTCCAAAACGACTTTCAAGTTCGTATAACCTCCACTCCTTGAGAGCAAATTGTAATTCGTTCTCCAAAAACCTTTGTTTGTCGTTGATAACTTCCGTTATAACCCACTTCGCGTATCTAAAAAAATATGGAAGTAGAAGAGGCCTCCACGAGATAAGAAAAATCACAACGATCAAAGTGGGAACAAAGGACACCATAAAAATTGTTCGCCTGGTTCCTTTCTCTTTTGCTCGACCATGTCTCATTTTGAAAGATTAATTTCTTTAAAAAGGCCTCAGATTACCAAACAAAAAAAATCAACCACCTTGTAAAAATATCCCACGACGGCCAGACGGCCATTACATTTCATTCCAGTGCCCAGAGCCCTTTGGTTTTGTTAAGGCCGAGGGAACCTGAGGACAAGTAACGGAGAATCCCGATGACGTTCCCGATCAATAATTTTTTCCCGATCGGTTCCCGAGTTCCCGAGTAAGTTCCCAAAAGAAGACGTCAAATTTGATTTCAAAAGTGGTTAAAAGTCTCTGGCTAATCGTCGCCTTTCTTCGGGATCTTTGGGTTGATTACCGACTACTTCCCAAGCTAAGTAGCATAGCCTTGCCTACATGAAGTCGAGCTCAATTTTTTTCACGAGCGCGAAGCACGATCGGTAGATTTTTATGTTTTCTGCGGCAAAAAGAGAGCGAGAAATAAGAAGCGAAGGACTTTGAGAAAGTCCAAGTAGCACAGTGCTGTCAACTCTCCCCGACGGTATCTCCGGGTCTCCAGATTAGAGCATGAAATCTCCCGGATAATCGCCGAGGTTTGCCAATTCTTCGGTAGACTCGACTTTCGACAATAAAATTTCAACTATTTTGCGAAGCTTGAGGTATTTTAATGTTAACTGAAACATCGCACGTTTCCTCATAAATTCTGGTAAGCCATTGCAATATAATATATAGATTTAGCCAGGGCTATAAGCGAAGCTCTCGATAATATTTATAGTTTGTTCGTGTAATGCTAGGCGGCGAAAGCAACGCCCGACGGAACGGCGAAAAACAACGGTAGGTCTAATTAGCAAAAAAGCAACTTTGCGAGTGCAGCACACTTTTTTTGTACATTTCTTTGCCGTTGTTTTGCACGACTACAACGTGAATTTTCCAGAAACTTCCTAGTTACACGTTTTATGGAAGAAATGTCGTAGGTGTTCTCGTAAACTTTCACTGCCGCTTATATCCACCTTGCATTGGTGGCGGCTAGCATTTCTCATTTTCTCACCACTGCTGCGAAATTTTCATCTTGGTCTTCTAACAAAAAAATGTCTGCTTTGTTTTTTATCTCTCGCTCTAGGTCTCTGTCGTTCTTTTTTTTCTCGTTGAGCCTCGCTGGCCTACCACTTAATTTCTCTTTTTCTCTATCTTTCTCTTTCTCTGTATTTCAAATTTGTGGACATGACAATTAATCTAAGCTTAATACTTAAGACTACACGGATACAGAAACAATTTCCGCTTTCCGTTTTTGTCTTTATTGACTCTTTAGTTGTCTCTGCTTTAAAAGACGCTGGTGGCTTTGCGATTTCCCGCCAAACTAACCTCGAGTGGCATTTGGGTTGCCATACCTGTTGATTGAGTTATTTTACATTGATATACCTGTGGTGCGGACTGTCGGCCGGACATACGGTCACGTGATTACCAAAATTTCTCGGATGGATAGATTATCACATTTTCTTACCCATGGTGCCCCGCTGCGCGTGCTTCGCGCGAGAGCTCCGCTAATAATGTGATTGATGGGAATTGGGAACCAAACCAATCAGGTCAGATTTTACAGTGCAACAACATCTTTTTGGCGCGTTTTCTGTCATCGTAACCTGGGACGAGGCTCCGCAGTGGGGGAATAAGCCGACGGCACCCTTTGACCCTCCCCAGGCTACCTCTCGGCTCGCTTCGTTCGCCGATTTTTTTTTCTCCTTTTTCCCCCAATGCGGAGCTTGGTCCCAGGCTAGCGTCAAACACTCCTCCCCTGTAGAAACCAAACCACTTTTAACATGCCTTATTGGAGCTAAACAACTGTCATCGTATCACCAGAGAAAATAAATCCTTTACTCTACCTCTTTGTTGAACCATACAGCATATACCATATGTTTCAATCCACAACAAAAATCCTCTCACTTAATGACAATTAAATGAAATGCACATCTTCAACACAGACTTGCTTTCAGCCAAATTGAAACATAGGACACGAGTGCTTACAGCCCGGACAGTAGGGTTTATCTCAGCTCCACTGATACTGACACTTTGAGGAAGATCGACCGGCATCATATGTCTTTCCACACACACCCCTGCACACATCACATGTACAGTGTATTCCGCTTACTAACAAGGGCAGATAAAGTTCCTGAAGTCCAGTATCAGCAGTATCCACAAAGATCATAGTTTATAATAGATTAACACATTGCATAAACTGCTATAGCACAATACTGTTTAGGAACCTTGGTAACTATCAACATTTGATATACTACAATATTTAACACAGCTTAAAAAAAAGATCAATTTCAAAGTTGGCAATATGTACACTCTTAAGCTCATACATATCCTGATTCCTATCTAGACTCTGAAAATATTGCACTAATTTATGCATGGATGGTATTTCCAACAATACACATGTCCCTTCACTATGAATGTTACCACACATATCTCTAGCATGAGTAGTTCAGAGCCAAGAGTGTTTCAAATGCTGTACCTGCATGAGTGGCATATGTATCTCAATTTCTTCGCGCCCTTTAAATTTAAGGAAAATTTTCCTTATGACGAGAAAAATTTGCCAAAAACTGAGTTACTTCCAATTGTCTCCAAATTTGGCCCACAAGAAGTTTTTAACAATAATTCCTCGAGCCCGAATGGGTTCTGAGTCAATACAGAGGCCATGAGAGCGACAGGAATAATTGCTTTAGTAAAATCCAACTAGTGCAAAGTAACGTATAAAATCGTGTTCTTGCGTAAGTTATATATAAAATAAGTTGGCGACCAAAATTTTTCCGTTAGTCGCCAGCTGGCTCCCGAACGAAAAACTTTATTTCGAGCCCTGCATTTGAATATCTCATCCCGCCTAAATTGCCTCTGCTTTGATGCTTAGACGACAGATACACTTTCCCTTGTTTACGGACTAATTTTAGAGTTGCCCTTTGAGTAAAAACCTCACACTGTTATAGTTACTTCAGTTACTTCTGTACCTGTTTAAGTCTAAACCATTTGTATTATTAATGTAACAATGAATTTTAGACGACAATGGTGTATTTTTCCGAATACCCTTCCATACAAAAACTCTCGCTTTCAGTGTTTTCTGTAACAAAGATTTTATTATATATCTATATCTATATGGCTTACGTAAGGGAGTGCCCCCCGGAATTTTAGCGAAGTTTTGCTTTAATAAACTATTCATATCGGCAGACCAGGGCTGCCTGATATTAGTTCTTCGACCTCGCATTTTGTATGAATTTGACCGTTTTAAATATCACATTTTCTGCCCGTTCTCCGCTAAAATGCAACAAACCCTAGGTGCCCATTTCTGAGTCCTGCGAAAATCTGTGGGGCATTTTTTCAGTTCTTGAATTCGCTCTTTTTGACGCTTACCTAGCGAGAGACGGGTAGGAGAGAGAACCTGGGAAGGAGGTTATACCGTACTTTTTGTCCGTAACGGAACATAATACGTGGGGTAGTCAAGAAAATTTTAGAAAAAGCCGCACAGTAACGTTAAAAAAATCCGTTGTGGAAAAAAATATTGCAGATTAACGTGTTTTTCACCATCAATATAATTTCCGCCCGAGACACTTGACTGGAACAATAGTAAGCGCAAAACTCGTTATCAATATCGCTTTCAGGCTCTATATTGTTTCTTATCACGTCTTTATTGAGTTTATGATACTCGGAAAGCGAATGACACGTTTTATTCTCTCTCGTGAAAGCTACTTGTGCATATGCCCTCTACAAAACCAAAAGAGATGTTTTCTGGACAAGAATTTTGGCTAGCTTGTTTCATCATTGGAGGAATAATTATTGCAGTATGTATGAAAGTTTGGGAAAAGCTAAGGGAATCGAACAAACAGTTGCGGTTTCCAGTCCAAGAAATCGGAGATGGAGACATGCCAGGTACAATTTTATTGGGAAACATAATGAGACAAAGAAAAGTTCCTCAAGAACACGGCCACTGTTAAGGTATTTGCTGAGATCTTGAATTCATTTTTTTTTTCCAAAGATGTCTTCACTATGGTACCAAACAAAAATTACTCGGCTCCGCGGTGTATTGTGGAATGCTTCTATTATTATTATACGTTGTTTGATCAACTCTAATTGTTTAAAAATTTATTTACTGTATTTTGATCAGATCAGCAAACTTCATAACATACAATGTTAATAATCCGGGACCAGATACATACAATCGACTCCCGGTTGACTCGAAGCAATTTTCATTTCCCTTTAGATCATTTTCCATATAATTTTACCCTCGATAACTCGAACTTCCGATAACTAGAACCCTTTTTTCTATTTCCCTTGAAGGTTCGAATTATCGGGAGTCGGCTGTAATTATATATAATTATATAACTACCAGTGGTATAGACTTATCAGCTATACAACTGGAGGTATATACAACATATCAGGTCAACTTCATAAAATTTTCTATTAAATAATTTAACATTCAAATAATTATCTCCATTACCTAGAACATTAAGGAGTAGTGGTTTAATTTTTTTGCGAAACAGTAGGGTGATAACGATAGAGTCGACTCTCTCGGACACCTAGAGTTGATCCTTGCTGTCTTTCCCCCTTGACATCTCTCTCTAAGACAGACACTTAGTGCCGGTCCCAAAGGTGTCCCTGTTCTTAGAGAGGGTTTACTATATTCCACTGCAAAACCTAAGGAGGCCCTAACCCGAACGCGTTGAAGGCTAGAATCCAATCGATGGACACTCTGCGGGAATGCACCATCACCAATTTTTTTTTTTTTTTTCAGGTCTGGCCATGAGAAGGACCCTTAAAGCTTAAATTTTGGTCGTGGACAAGAAGAACACTTAACGAGTAAACATTCAGTAGACTGAGAAACCTGAATAATCCTCTTCTAGTGCCGCGTTTTACATAAAAAAGTATACTAAAAAGATGCTGTAGTAGTGAACAATGTAAAAATAACTTTTAGTGTAACAGAACAGCCTGTAGGTCTTATGTCATGGCCCAGTCGAGATTAACAAATAGATTACGTGTTGCCGTCCACCAATGTT